CTGTCCTGATAGAACTAGATGGCTTCTCCCAAAATATATAGGTGTGGACCCTATTTTTCCACTAGCGGCACAGTCAAGTAAAATAGAGCAACAGAGGTGTTAAAAGCAAACAGTATGGTAGACTTCTTGACATATTTTATTTAGCCTGCTATAGTCAGAAAAAAAGGCAAGTAAAACCACTTAAAAATTGTTCAGATGTTCTCTCATACATTAGTAGACAGGCAAAACTCACTTCATCAAAACATCTACTTGTTTCAAGAGCTTTGTGAAAAGTTTTTCAGGCCCTGTTCCAGCCAGGGTGATGTGACAACTTCCAAGGTACAACTCAAGATCAGATCTTAATGGTTTTTAGTCTCGAAGAGGTTTTGGTGTCCATAAGACCAGTTCCTGGCAACACAGGTTTCTCTTCCAAGGGAAACCACCTACTCCCTTGAAATAGTTAAGCTTGTGCATGAGCCCTTCAGTGATGTGAAGCCTTAGGAAGGAACTGGCAGGTATAAACTGGTAGGTTTATACTGTAGGCATAAACACTGCATAGCATCTAAAATCATAAATCATCCTACTTCTGTTTTGTTTTGGATTTTTCCCCCTAGTCCTGGCCAATTGATGTGTTGACAGTTCTTTTTCTATGGGACACTGTCCTTTCCTACCTACTCTGTATTAAAGAAACAGGGAATCTTTTTTTAGTCTGATCTTGTTTTCCAAAAGGCAGCTGTTGCATTCAACTGTTACTGGGCTTTTTTCACTAAAATAGCTTCCCACTCTTTCTCATATCCACTGATGGAGTAAAGACATTGACATCTTCATGCTTGAATGGGGAAAAAATGCAACTGCAGTTTCTCTCTTAAGGGAAGGAGATGTTACTTTTTCTTCAGATGCAGCAAATCTGTGTGTGCTTAGAATTTTCTGCCTACTCTCATGATTTGGTGCATGCCATAGAAGCTGTAGCTGTTTGTCTAATAACAGACCAATGTACATTAGCAAGTTCTAGGTGTTGCTTCTTGCTTTGCTTGATTACCTAAGAATCAAGTAGCAAGAATACTCAGCATTTCAATTCCCTGCTTTGTCTCTGTAAAATAAACATTCTTGTCATAGCAGAAATAACATGGTATACTTAAAAAAAAATAAATTACAACAGTCCAGTGTTATTTTTAATGGTTATAGAAACATCTTCTTTTTCTGTATCTAATTCAGACATTCTAAATGCAAAAACCTTTCTGAATAATTTCAGTTGTCTTCTGTTCACCAGTCCTGTTTGTCCCAGGGTGATGAGAACGCAGCGTTCTGTGCGTGACGAAGTTTCATGATCACTTACACTCTTGCTCTGTACTTAGGTTTGTGGTTTTAGAGGAATAATTTTAGGTCATCAGTAGCTGTTTTTCAGATTACAGAAATAATCTTCCCACTAATTACATATTTATACTGCAAAAAGTCAGAAAACACTTAAGAATAGAAGTATGCTAGAAAAGAGGAATTTTGTGGCAGGAAGAAATCGTACATGTGTGCAGCAGTCCTCCCCCACTGTCATAGCAAGTTCAGATTACAATTACCTACATGTCTGTTTAGGAGATGCTGATCTCTAAGTCACGAAGTTGAGATAGGATGTGATCTTTGGAGGTCATCTAGTTCCAGCGCCCTGCTCAAAGCAGGGTCAACTAGAGCAGGTTGCTCAGGGTCGTGTCCAGTCAGAGATTGCGTATCTACAAGGATGGAGACTCGGCAGCTCCTCTGAGCAACCTGTGCCAGCAAATGGCCACCGTTAGAATAAATAAGACTTTACTTACATTCAGAAAGAACACCATAAACTTTTAAATACTCCAAGCAGCACTAACTTAATTCAGAAGCGACTTGATCCTTGCTGTTTTTTGATGCCAATTGAAGAGCCATAAAATCTGATTCAGTTTACATCTCAATTAATTGCTGGAGGTTTGTGAGAGATGTGGTTACTCTTTGCCCAGAGACATACTGCTTAATCTGGTAGAATTCCAGCTGTGGTTAACAAATATAGAGCCTACATTGTTTATTTTAGTAATTTGAAATAATTATAATATATGTGCATATTTGTTTACACTTCACAGTTGGGTTTTTTTATGTTTACTTGATCTTCATGTACTCAGCATCCAGGTCTGTTTGCTGAGGGAGCCAGGGTCAGAGGACACACAGGATCATGTGAATTCTTCATTCCTAGATACTCATGTAAAAGGTCTGGAGTGGTTCGGGTGGATGAAAAGAGCACAAATCTTGATCAAGCCAAAAACAGTTCCAGGAAAATATGTATTGGGGTTTTTTCCTCATTCATCACAGCATCTTGTGTTTAATAATGAAAATAGATTAATGTTTAACATGCATAAAGGTCACAGGAAAGTGAAGTGACGATTTACTGCTTCTGCTAGAAGAGTAATGCATCGATTGCCTAATTAGAAGTAACAAAATTATGTCAGCAGGCTGTGAAGTTTTTTTTAGTTTAATAAGCAGGAACAGAGGAGTCTGTTTTTCAGGGTGTAGCTTGTAAGCCAGCTGTTACTTATAAATGAAGTCAGTCAAGCCTTGGCATGCATGGAAATAAATAAATAAGTACTCCTCTTGGTTTTCATCAACAAGCCCTCTAGGTCTCCTCAAGCACAAAGTTCAACTGCTGTAAAGTCATTCTCTGTGATGTGGTGTCTTCCTCTAACTACTGTCTGTATGTAAAGTCCATCTACTGCTGGGTAGCAATTTTGTCAGTAGCCAACGTGTTCGATAACAAAAACCACTGAAGAAATCAAATTCAATAACTGCACATCTGTGATGGATCCCTAATACCTTCTCTGGGCTTTAGCTTAGCTATAACCCTTGTAGCACTTCCCCTGCTGGAAGCTCTCCTTATGGTCTTAAGCATGGGTGCTGCTGGGGGAGCCTAACTCTGGCTGAGATAGTGGCACTCATTGCCTGTGCGAGAGCTGCAGTTCCTGGAATCAGTGTTTCCCAGAAAATGCCTCATTGCTTTGCTGGCCCCTCTGCAGCCTCAGCAAAGCAGAGGTGGAATCACAAGTCTCTGCCTGTGTTCTGGGCAACCCAGAAGTAAAATTGCTTATGGCTGGTAAGTCCAGATGCTCCCACAAGAGTGAAAAGTGATTATTAGAAAATGCTAAGGCAGTTGCAGCTTGAAATACGGGTAGAATGAAGTTTTGTGTTTCACTGTCATCCTGACTTGTCATGTGACTAAAAATTGGCACTCTGAAGGAGTATTAGGTAAATAAAACTGAGGTGAACCTTGAGCTTTCTGTGGAGCAAATGCCTATCGTTTGAGGTTATAAAGTTTCCTTATACCCTTATATTCTTCTTTGTGTATGATTAAGAAGTTAGGCATGAAGATGCCTGAGCTTTCTGACTTGTTGGTGACACAGCTGAGAACAGACTTCTGAAGTCATGACCTTGCTTTCCTTACCCCTCCACCATTGTCTTTGCTGAGTGATTAGCTGATGACTCACGCCTTGTGCTCAAGGGTGAAGTAATGCTTCCTGAATTGTCTTATTTATTTTGTAATCTGCTTGTTTTCTTAAATCCACTAGCTATATCTATGTATGTATCTGTTGATCTGTCCATCTATATCTCTATATCTGTTTCCTTGCCTATAAAAAGAATCCTACTGACATCTTTATGAGCACCTAGAATATAAGTGTTCCGTTTTCACTGTTCAAACTTCCCCACCCCCTAAGTCATTTACTGTTTCCTGTGCTGGTTTATGTACACTATTGCATTATGCTTAAGCATTAGATAACCATAGAAATGTCTAAAAAATATCTTCAGAGGTCTCTGAAGCATTCTTTATGTTTAAGGATGCCCTTTCTCATAGGGAAGAAGGTTCTTCTGGGCTGCTGCTGTAGTGTGATGCTCCCAAACTTCTTTCTGTACAATCCAAACCCAAAAACTTGTAAGCAATCAAGCTCCAATTGATGCTTGACAGAGGAAATTTGTTTTATCAGGAAACTGGCACACTTAGCATGGATTTTTCTCAAAGTAACTTGGCAAAATTAAATTGGCAGAGTTATCTGCTGTAATCATAGATGGTCGCCCTGCATTTGTCATCATGGCAGCAGCACAGGCTGCAGAATAACCTTAATCTAGGCCAGCCAAAGCAGAGGGATCTAACCAAGCATCAGCCTTACAGCAGCTGAGCAGACAGCATAAGCATGTTCCCACCTTCTAACCCTGTCACACATGGTGACCATTTGGTCTTACGTAGAATGTATCAGATGGCAGTTTGGGTTTGGTTTGTAATGACACTATCTGTGGGCTGTAGCAGGCTGCTCTCTCATACAGGTGCCCTGCAAGTGATACTGTATGTGGAAGTAATATTGGTTGAGAGTGTCATCTAGGATGACATTAAAAATAAACAATAAAAATTAACACCTAAAATAATTAAAATGTTTCTTTAAAAGACACAGCTATTTGTAGTTAAAAACAAACAAACAAGCAAGCAAAAAAAAACCCAAACTGCCATAACAACATAATATGCTATTATGAAGGTGAAAGAAAATTTTCAAGAGACTCATTAATCTACATGGCATGAGTGCTGGACTAAGAAGGGAGTGAAAAATAACAGAGACTTAATCACTTTCCCCGTTAATTAGTCTGCAGCTTCTCTTGTGCTCTCTGAAGTGTTTTTAACTTTCATTTGGAGTTTGATTTGTCAGCATTTCACTGGTTTGTTCAGGTGCAGAAGTTTTAGTAAAAACACAGAGCATAACAAGAGATGAAGCTCTTTTGACCAGGTGTTGCTGATGGTGAACTTCTGGCAGGGAGACAGATGTGCAGTTCAGCTAGTCAGTGTTTAACTTCTGTGATGTGTTTGTTGGACAAGTACAAGTTCACTTCAAATGGTCTTTCAGGAAACAAAACCAAATTAGCCATTCCAGAAAAATAACAGCAGGGAGCATCTCTTAGTATTGAAGCTTGTTTGTATAATGCACCAGATTCTAATGCTGGTTTGTTTTGTTTTTTTTTCCCCCCTTCTGCAGGTGCCTGAGATTATAAGTTCTATTCGACAAGCCGGAAAAATTGCTCGTCAAGAAGAGTTTCAGAATAGTCTCTCAGACGTTGAAGACCCTTTTGCCAAAAAGTTTGAGGTGCTGTTCTGTGGACGAGTGACAGTAGCACATAAAAATGCACCTCCAGCACTCATAGATGAATGCATTGAGAAATTTAGTCGTGCAAGTAGTACAAAAGAGTCAGATTGCGACTCGGCATCCCAACAACATGAAACTGCCAATAACCTCGGAGGCTTCTTCAGCAACAAATTTCGGTCTGTCTTCCAGCCCCTGGTCAGTGAAGAGGAGGAGAAAAGGCCAATGAGGAAATCCTTTTCTCAGCCTGGGCTCCGTTCCCTTGCTTTTAAGAAGGATTTGCAAGAGGGAAGCAATAGGAGTAACAGTTTTGTCAGGTCTTTTGAAGAAGATGGAGTTTCGCTGAGCCTAAGAAGCCAGCTCCTCCATGGACACGGTGTCGTGCAGCCGACGGACATTGCCGAAAACCGGACAATGCTCTTCACGGTAAAGCGAGAGCTGCGGCTCTTGGTGGCTTTTTCTCCTCTTGGAGTTTGGAGTGGCAAACACCAGAGCAGATGTTCTGACAGATGGCGGTTACTTCCTTAATAACTTAGTTGCCATCACCAGAGGTCAACTTAAACTTGCCTGTTTCTCTAGAAAGCGTTACCAGTCAGTGTAAATGCACGTGCTTTTAGAGATAGGGAGAGTACAGGTGGACGGCTTAGGTCCAGCTCCTCTTATTCCAGTGAGTGCATTTTTAGTTTATATTAAATAGATGCAATGTTTCTCAGAGACACATGCAGCTTCAGCCTGAGTGTAATGTCAGACACCTGCTGACAGGCTCATTTCCAAATTGGGGGGTGGGGGGAGTCTGCTGATCTGGCTTCCTATCTTGGGTTGCTTTTTGCCTGGGAAAATATTATGTAGTATGCACAGTAGTACTGTGTTGCCATTCAGCCACTCTAAATGCAGCTGAATATAAGGAAGTGAAGTAATTGTGGGTCGTGCCTCCAGTATCCACAAGTTAGCAGCTGATGGCAGAACTCAGTTTGTTGGCTAACTGCCCCATGTCCAGCAGGCTCTGAGTACTGGTATGCATGCAGCCTGCACAGGTCGTCTTGCTCATCAGATTCTGTGTGGCTACATATGAAATGCTTAAAAGTAACCTTATATACAGAGGAAAAAAAACCTGTGTTTTCTTAGTTAAAATTCGTTCTCGGATTTTGCGCAGGACTGAAGCAGAGCTGGGTTGGTGTAAGTGGTGTGAAAAATGTTCAGATGAGTTATCTGCTGATTCTCCTCACCTGGTTCAGACAGTCCTGATTGTGATATTTCCTCCTGAAGAACTTCTTTCCCAGCCAATTTCATAGGATTTGTTTGGTTTGGGGTTTGGTGTTTGGGTGTGGGTGTGTTTGTGTTTTGTGGTTTTGTGTTGTTGTTGTTTTGGGTTTTGGTTTTTTTTTTTTTTTTTTTTTTTAAACTTAGTATTATTTTGGGGCTTGTCTCCTAGCTGTATTTGGAGGTGGTGAAAGAGGGCTGTATTGGTTGGGGTTTTTTCCCGTGTTCGGTTGGCTTTGGATGATATCTGCTGCACTAGGACCAAGTGTGAAAGGATCGTGTGGGGCTGAGCTAAAAAGTAACCTCTCACTGCAGGGAAGGGAAGACGAGAGCAGTGAACAGGAGGAGGTTGCTGAGTAGATGTTGGAAGGATTAACCCCATGAACACATGCGAGGTCAGCCCCAGGGACAATACAAGGAAATCAGCAGGCAGTTGGGAAAAATCATTGTGCCTGGTTGTAGCAAAGGAAGAGGTGGAGGGGGAATGTGTGGTTTACCATTCTTAGACACACAAAGGTGGCACATCTCACTTGATCCATTCACACAGAATTCTCCCTTCCCCCTTCTTTAGGAAATTACAGGTATATTGGTACTGTTGATGTAGTAATGTGCATCTTTTGGGATTTGGTAGTGGCTGAAGTTTTAGCAGGTTTGTGTAAACCATGCTCATGAATGGATCCAGATTTCACCCATCTGCCCTAAAATCTGATATGAGACTTGTCCTTAGAAGACTTTCTGATAGGCTAGAAGTTATGAGGAATTTATATTTTAGCTGTTAAAATGTTACAAAGACACTTCCAGAACCTGAAAAATTGAAAACCATCTTTTCCCCTTAAAAATGCCTTTCATTCCTCAAAAGTTAGTCAACCCAAAGTTAGCTATTGGGTAACTGCTGTACAAGTGCCCTACAGATTAAATTAAGTTAGAAAATATACTCCAGTAAGCACATTTGTATATTTTTAGTTAAAGCCTTTAAATTAAATGTTATGTGTGTCTTAAATAAAACCGCAAAAAATAATTAAGTGGAATACCGCTAGAGGCACGTACTTGGATGTAAATCTCTGAATGTCAAATTCATGTTGTTTCAGTATTCTCTATTTCTCTGGTAATAATACACTAATTGGTCTAAATATACAAGTAGAAAAAAAAAATTATTTATGTCCAGGAAACATTTTTATAGTGACACAAATGGGTGTGTAATGTTACTTGTTATCATCTTGCTATTTATTTTGCTCTTTTTAGATTGGCCAGTCTGAAGTTTACCTTATCAGTCCTGATACAAAAAAAGTTGCAATTGAAAAAAGCTTTAAAGAAATATCCTTTTGTTCTCAGGTAAGACTGCAGAATGTTCTTTCCCTCTTTTTTTAGTTTAACTATTCTCCACTTGTGAATGCTCATGTACTTCTCTCTCCTAGCATTTCGACTAGATTCTCACCCTGGCAGTTTCAGTAATTGCTATTAACAAGTTTCTAGTTAATTAGTAATTTTTTAAAACTGCCATTCTTTTCTCATTTTGAATTATAATTTCTGAGATAAGACTTGGTTCTGTGTATGGTGGATGAATAATAGGAGCTAGAAGGGACACCCTTGTCAGCTCTGGTTTGAGGTTTCAGTAGGTGTGATTCACAGTTTGCAAATCTGGGATTCTCTGAGCCATATTTTTCAAGAATTGATCATGAAAGGAGAAAAACGATATATAAGAGTATGTGAAAAATACTTTTAAAATACATGTTTTTAAGAGTACAAGTTGCATGTGTGCAAAAGAAGACAACTGTTGGCCATGCAGAGGTAGTGAGCGAGATGCACTGAGGGCAAGCTTGTTTCAGAGCCCTCTTATGCAGTATTAATCCTTGTCTGTTATGCTAGTTTGTGTCCTCCTGCCTCTCATTTTTGTGGCTCTGTCTTTGGTTTCACATGGACAATGTGAGGGTGCAGTTTATCTAATGACTTATTTTGAGTGGTGATGTTTGGAAAGAGATGCAAGTTACAGAAGTGAAGATGCAGTGATGGCTTCGGGCTTGCACGGGCACGTGATCGGCACTTGGCTGCTGCAGCAGCTCAGCAGTGTGAGGGCAGAACAGGCTCTGTCGCACCAAGGACATGGGACAGCTGGGGCAAGCTGGGGATTTTTGTTTGGTTGTTTTTGTTTTGTTTTTCAGTAGGGTTATTTACCCATTTTTAAATATAAGGAATATGATTTGCTATTTTTTTTTCTAGCTTTTTTGAATTGGGATTTTTTTTCTCATAAAATGACTTTGGCTTTTAATTTCATGAGAAGAAATTTCATCACTTCAACAGGTCCCCATTCTGAAAACTTCATAGCAAACATAAGCAGTTTGCATGCTGTCAGATCCAGAGCTTTGAAGAGAACTCCCTAATCACAGGAAAATCTTTATTCTCATGTTCCCTTGGGCAGGATCTAGTTAGATAGACTTTGTGAGTTGCCCTGAGGGTCAGCACACAGCTGTGCTCCTCAGAACAGTAGGTTTGAAATTCTGATTCAATGCTCCTCTCCTGTCTGAAGAGTGTCCTACTGAGTAGATGTTTTGCCAGTTGGGCAAATACTGGTATTTGGGGCATACAAGGCTTTTCCCCAAGGAATACACCTTTCAGAATACTTGATGGAATGATCTTAAGGACTTGTCTTGATCATACATGAACTTTGTTAAAATTTTCTTGAAGGCACTGGAGTTAAATTTTAAGAGAGATCAGAATCAGTACTTAATTTCTAAAATGCCCAATCCACCAGTGAGATGATATAATGGCAGAAAGGAGTGTGCAGTCCTGGGACAGTGTCTGAATTAGCTAATCTGAAAGAGCTAAGGGAGTTTGGCAGTCTCTGGTGTCTTGCAGTTTTGTGGGTAGAGCTGTGATCCCAGCTGAGCTCCCTCCACTGTAGCTGTTGGGTCTTCAGGAGAAGAAATAGGCTTTCAAAAGAAGAAACATGAGGTTAGAGAGGGGGCTCAGCATGTTCTGTACACGTCTCTGATGTGGGTGATGGAGAGAACCTGCAGGTTGCATCAGTCTCTTCTTGCTTTATCACATAGCTGTCTCCTGAAATGCTTAGCCTGGTCATCCATTGGAACTAGAGTTGGAGAAGCTCAGGCTTCACATAATTTGAATGCCTTTCTGCTCCTTTTGTTCTCATGGCATATTGGTGCACATCTGCGTGTAATTGTCCCACTCCAACAAACCAGGTATCTCCTTATACAGTAAATTATTTTCCTTCATTGAGCTGGTATCCACTGAAGGTTTATTCTTAATATTTCTAACAGCCAGACAGCATTGTTTAGACTGCTTAAGGATATCTGATGCTATAACTCATTCACTTCTGGGATATCTGGCCATTCTGTTTTATAGAAGTATTCACTTTTTATGCTTTTAAAATACTTCTTATCCTTTTAAAATGCTTTTTTAATTTTTTTTTCTTAATGATAAAAGGACAAAGGGAATATTCAGTTATTATTGTTGTGTTAACAAGAAAAAGCAAGAAAACCCAGCAAAGTCCTATTTGACATATTCAGATAGCTTAAACTTCACTGGAATTTCTGGTTTACTGTAATAATGATTATTTTTGATGCAACATTTTATTACTTCTCTTTTGCCAATTTTAAATTGTTGTGCTGTGACAGCCAGAAGGTAGTAAAATAGTGTGGAGTATAATTAAATTTCTATAAACAGGCTCTGCATGTAGTTAACCATAAGTTCAGGTTCAGGATTTTGTTTTTTTCACCAAGAATGGTGCACTGAGGAGATGTGCATGGGATCACCTGACTACTCATCTGAAAGTCTTTCTGTAAAAGAAAAAAATTCCCAGTGAATAAAAGAACTTCCTAGCATTTTACCAGGACATACTGTTTATCTACTGTTGCCAGTATATAGTGCCTGAATTTGCATGCTTTTTAGGAGAAATAAATGCTACCATGAGTGATCTTCAAGTAATATACTTAACTATTTTCATTTTTTAACTAGCCAAGTTTTCTTTAAGTGAAAAAAAAAAAAATTTATCCATTTTTTACTACTACTTTGATTTGGTCTTAAAATGTAAAGCAATTGTTGACCATTTGGGTAAAGAAGAATTAAAACAGAGTAAGCTATTCTTCCCTGCTAGTTCCAATACTGATTAACATACATCTTTAATAGTATATATTCATCCTTGTGTTTTCTAATGAATCTACTAGAATTCGGTCAATTAAAAAAAAACACAACACAACAAACAAACAACCTCTGACTTAAGTGAAATTTAAAATATTCATGACATAATAGGTTCTGTAAGAGAATGGATTATTAAGGCTAGATGATTTTAATGTAGCTGTACCAGAGATATGTGACGTATCTGTAGTGCTGTTGGGCCTTTCATGCTTTTATTACTGGGAAAAATACAGGTACAAAACATTGAATGTAAATATGACTGCTTCACTACTGTTGCTTCTCCACTAGGGAATTAGGCATGTGGATCACTTTGGGTTCATCTGCAGAGAGTCCTCAGAAAATGGAGGCTTCCACTTTGTTTGCTACGTGTTTCAGTGCACAGATGAAGCACTGGTAAGTGAATAGAATACTGGGCCCTAAAAGTCTTCTACTGCTCCATGCTTTGTACTTTACTGAATGTCTTCAAATCCTGCTCTGCTCAGAAATAGAATGATTCCAAAAATGTAACTAACTTAGCAGTCTGCAAAGGAATTATTAATTTATTTTGAAGATAGGAGTTAAAATCCCCTTTAACATCCAGTAAAACTTCCTTTCATTGCACAAAGAAAGTTAGCCTGTATGCCTCTTTTTTGGAAGAGGATTTTTTTCGTGGTCTACCTGTTCGGGCCCGTGCATCACAACTGCAGTAAGCTTTTCTATCGCAGACAGGAGAAGGTTTCTAGATAGAGATAGTATCTTTTGTTAGACCACAGTAATAACATTGGGTGGTCTGAAAGAGATAAGACTTCACGACGAGTTCTGACTTGCTTCTGTGTGCACAGGAAAGGCACGGGAACAGCTTTTCTTTCTAATCATAAGCACATTCCCAGACAAGCTGCAGTATTATTCTACAAGGCTGTTGTGTTTGCGTTAAGGAAAACAGGTGGTCACTGAAGGAGTGAAATTGTGTTCTTTTGCACTCATTTCTTTTCAGGTTGATGAAATCATGATGACGCTGAAACAGGCTTTCACTGTAGCTGCTGTACAACAGACTTCCAAGGCACAGCCCCAGCTCTGTGAAGGATGTCCTATGCAAAGCTTGCATAAACTCTGTGAAAAGATAGAAGGTGAGGTGTGAAGAACTTTCTGGTTGAATATTTTTTTCTCACAATTTTACTGGAGGACAGTCTTACACATGAAACTCCAAGGGAGGAAATGCTTAAAGAGAGCTTGAGACATGGGATGCAGAGTTGAAAGGCAGTCTTTTTATTTAGAGGACTGTAGTGTCAAGTTATCTGTATGGCAAGATAAGGATTTTCTAACAGAAGTTAAACTCCTTTCTTGCATGTTATTTGAATTTTTGAAAACTAATCAAAGAGTCTAAATATTACTGCCTTGCAGCTGGCTTGGCTGTATTAGCCAAGGAGGAGTGCCGATAAGGAACTTCTCCAAACAGTGTGTGCTGCAATAGTTATGACCGGCTCTCCTGCGGAATCCACTTAGATACTGGCATTGCACTACCACCAAACATGACCCGAACAGTCTGCTTTTAGTATGCAATGTTTGTGCTGTTGATTTATGCTCCTTCATGAAAATGCAGTGGTTAGAATTGTAGTATTGCCCAGAAAACGAGTCCAAGAAAAAAACCCACCTTGTTGCAGTTCATCAAATTTCAGTTAGATTTTATTAATTTAAGCAATGTCTGGGTTGAATAAAGGGCAACAGCAGCTTGTGAGATCACATGACAGTAGCTTGTTGGACTAAAACCTATCTAGTATTAATTTGATGAAACTGGAGAACTTCCAAAACTACTTTTCACTCTGTTTTGGTCTTCAGCTAGCTATGATTTTTGAGAAAATTCTTAAAGGCAAATGATTCTTAATGCCTTTAATCATGCCATCTGGTTAATTGTATTGTCTGCTTCTGAAGGAGAAATGCCATAATCTGAAGTACAAAATACTGCTGATGGTTTGCTGGTTTTCCACAGAAAACAGAGGAAAGGAATTTAATCCATGATGAGAGCAGAAAACATAATCTGAATGAGAGAGTGGTCTGCTTTACTGTCAGTAAACGTTTTCAGCAAGAGTCGAAGCAAAAACTTCACTAACATGCAATAAATTTGCTCTTTTTTCAGAAGAGGCCAAGGTATACAAATTGGAGAAAACCCATGGAAATTACATTTATACAACAAGCAAAATCCAAGTAGTACTGCATAAAACGCCAACAAAGCAGTCTGCTAAAAGGCAGTAGATTGTGGGTTTATTTTATCTTGTGTGATAATGGAATCTTCAGCTAAGAATATAATCCTGCTCTGTGCTCAGTAAATCTCCTCGTTGTAGAGTTCATGTCCCTCATTTTAAAAACATGAGTTCAGTAGTAGCTTTAAATTAACCTACAGTTCTTTCTAATGCCCTGTTATGAAATCAGTGCAATGGGTCAGCTCAAATAACAGACGAGCTTTGGCTTAAATTGTGTGCATATTTATGTGATTGATTAATTCTGACAAAGTTGACCCTGTGTTTTGTTCTTTTTTGTTCCTCTTGGTAGGGTTACACCCTTCTAAGACTAAACTAGAACTACAAAAGCATCTAACAACATTAAATAACCAGGAACAGGCCTCTGTTTTCGAAGAGGTTAAGGTAAACTCTGTTTCTTACCAGATTTTAAAGCAGTTGATGCTTTTTGCTATTATCAGTGTGGAGCACTAAAGTGATTTTCACTTTTTTTGTCTGCAAATTATTCATTATCTTTATTTAATAGACTGTTAATCACCTTGTGCTTTAATTTCAATATTATTATTTTTCTAGAGCGTGTCTTTTGATGAAAATAGCTTATTTTACTCGTTCCTTTTCCCATAATACTACTTGTTGTCCAGGAAAATATTGAATTCTCACTAAGACTGCACACATTTTTTTGTGGGTGAAGGCTCTACCTTGTACTGTGCGAACTTTCAACAGTTACTTTGACCAAAATAAATTGCTATAACATTCCCAGATCAGAAAATTCCCTGCCTAGATCTTAATACTTGTCAAACTAACTGAAAAAGTTTAACTTTCTGAGTGAAATCCATTTTAGCACAGATGAAAGCATAGCTGGCTTTAAGACAGATCGTGAACATCATAGTAGGTGTCATTTGGCTTGGCACACTGTTGAAGATTAAGAAATTTCAGACTTTAAAAAAAAAAAAAAGTTTCCTTCCTCTCTTGAGTCATTTCAGTCTCTTCGTGTGTTTCCATGGGGCAGTTCATCATCCAGTACCAAATTTGGAAGTTACTCTGTGGGAGCAATTCCATGAGCTAAGTAGTTTCTTAGAATACAGGAGCTAGCTGGCACTGTTGCCTTTTAGTGTTCTGCAGACATTTTAAGTCATTTCTAGTAGTCACAGGAAACTGTTAATTGCTTCTGGTGAGAGTTTGCAAACAATTAACTTGGTAAAACCAAGGGTATAGTACACCTCTCCTGCCTATCATTTTCAGTTGATTTTTTCTGAGTTGAGCTGCCTGAAATTTTAGTTGTCACATTTTTCCAGTTCCATGTGTTGTAACCATTATTTGCATTTTAGGTAGCTGTCTAAGGATCATTTCATCAATCTGATGTGCTACCCTTGTGTTTACTAATTCATACTGTATCCTCTACATTACATCAAAAGGCTTAAAACAGCATATGCTTTTCAAAAATTAGGTTTCTAGGATTCAATTCTGTAATAAATTGTTTTAAACCATTTTCTTTTACAGTAATTCAAACCTAAATAGAATGCATCAGAGACAAGTATGTACACCTTGTCCACTGATTTTTAAAATACCTATGTCATTTCCAAAAAATGAAATGTCCAGTGAGGATTTCTAGGAGGGGGGTTGTGAATCGTAACTGCAAGACGGTACTTCCTGTGGGTTACCGTCTCAGAACCACGGTGTTTTGGTTTTCTGTACATCAAAAGCAAATGTGCAAAAGTATTTTTTAAAGTCTTTATTTCCATATGGCAGTTAGAGACCTCTACAGTTCTCCTTTACCTTTCAGGTAAATTCCGTCAGTGTGAAGTGAGGTGGTGTCTGTCTGTCTGTCTGTGTTGCTGCTTTGCCTGGGACAATGGTGTCCTCTGGTGGACTGGAGTAGTAGCTTAACTGGATTGAACTTTTCCTTAGACTAATGACAGACTGACTGTGAAAAGACTAAATATTAACTAACTGTTATGAAAATATACAATTACTCTGCTTTTGGTGTTTTCAATTAAAGAAATTAAAGCCAAGAAATGATCAAAAAGAGAATGAGTTGGTCATCTCTATTTTGAGAAACATGTATGAAGAAAAACAGAAGGACCACATTCATGTTGGAGAAGCAAAACAGGTAAGTAATCACTCAGTTTTCGTTCATATAAGGAGAAGCCATCAAAAAAATCTTCCATTAAATTTTTATCTTTCCAAAGACAAATTTTCATCAGTGGCATTTTGGAACTTCAAACTGTAGGCAGTGGTGTATGCTTGCTTTGATAGGATTCATAGGCTATTGTCATGCCCCGTAGCAGGCATACCTCAGATTTTGAGGTACCTGGTACAGTCTTGATTTCAGGCCTGGGAGACAGAGATGCAAACAGGGCAGACCACTAATTTGGTTGTTTCTTTCTTCACACAGCAGCGAAAATTTAATGTACGTGAGAGAATATTTAAGGAATTTGTAATTGCTCTCAGCCAATCTGTGGCATTTGTCATCCCACTGTCTGTCTGTGTGAGTTGGTGTCCTGACAATACATTGATCTTTGATACATTTACTCAGTAGCTGGAAGTTTCTTGTGTGTAAACCACCATTTGAAGTCGCCTCGAAGAGGAGTAGCTGAGGAGCATTCCTGTACAAACAGC